TATCTCATTGTTGTTTTGATTTGCATCTCTCTAATAGCTAATGATCGTGAGCATTGCTTCATATGTTTGTTGGCTGCTTGAATATCCTCCTTGGTGAAATGTCTATTCAGTAAATAATTTTTATTGAAAAATTTTATTTGAAAAATCAAGCAATAGCAGTAAAAGTGCAAAATGTGGATTCCTAGATAAACAACAAAATTGACATGAAAGACAGCTGACGGTGCCCCCTTTGAGCACCCGCGGACGCTGGCATCTTGGTAGTATTTGCGGTAGTTGTTTTCCCCATTCCGTGCGTGTTTAACTTTGGTAAAAATAGTAACAACAGATAATGCTGTTATCTTGAAGGCATGAAACAGCCTTCCTGGGAAAGGGACACCACAATTGAAACTCGAATTGCGAGGAACTAAAACTATGGCTTATGGGAGCGATTCCTAAGACAGTGGAAAAGGTGGGCGGTTCCCCTCACAGTCCTGCGAGAAGCAAGCAGGTGTTTTCATACAGATCACAGAGTGACAGTGGGAAGGAGCTAACTCTAGGAAGGTTGTTTTTATCCATGGAGATGCAGTTAGGAGCTGTCCAGGAAGACGGGTGAGCAGCGGCTGGTTTGAGCAGTTGCTGGAGTGGAGAGGGTGGAGATGAGAGTGGGCGCGGACTCGGCACTGCCCTCGTTTGTCTGCTTCTCAGGTTGTAGTTCAGGTTCAGTGAATTCCTGGGGGTTTACTTTCCTTTTCCCCGGGAAATGACTTGTCTCTTACATCTGGGGTATTTTGCTCAATAATGGTTAGATTTTTCTTTGGGTCTGTTTAAGGATGATGCTGAAAACAAGCTTAGATCACGTATCTGCTCTTCTTAAAATATTCTTAGAGGATTTTTACGTTTTCTAGTTGTTCTGAAGGATTGGTTTTGATTTGTTTCATTTGATTCTTACTGCTTAAAAAATAAACAACTTCCATGACCTGTCTGACACTTTTTTTTTGTTTTTTAAATTTACTGGTTCCTTTTAGGAATTTTTTTGTGCAGTGGTTGATGCACTCAGCTCTTGACAACAAGGTCGGTGGTTCGAATCCACCAGCCACTCTTGGGCAAGATGAGTTTTACGCTTCTGGAAGTTCACGGGGCAGGAGGGCTGTCAGTGAGCACAGTGTTACTGGCCGGTGTGACTGAGCACAGAGGAGGGGAGGCCGCGGCCGGTGTGGACGGTGAGGGACGCCGCCTGCCCCTGCCAGGGATGCCCTACTCCAGCGCCCAGCTCCTTGGCGTCTGGCCCAAGTCCTTCCTCCTGCGGGTGGGGCTGCCCTGTGCGTTAGCGGGTGTCCAACACCATCCGTGGCCCCCAGCCCCTCCGGCCGTGCCCACCCACAGTGTCTCCCGACGTGTCCACATGTTCCCTCGCAGCCGCCTGGCTGTGGTCGCTGGCCCTCTTAGGGCACGCTGTCTCAGGACCCATGTTAAACAAATACTGTGTTCCAAACCAGCTTTAGGTGAACGAAGCACCGTGAGAGCAGGGTATTTCAGCTTCGGAGGCGTTCTGTGGTGGCGGATCTTTCTCCAAACTGTCAGGGGATCCAGCAAAGCTGGTCTGCCGTCTGCACAGCTTCTGCGTCAGCAACGCCAGGGTGGAGAGGCGTGCGTGTCTGGCCCGTGGAGGCGGCCGCTGCCCTTTACCTGGTTGGAGGGTGTCCAGGTGATGTCTGAGTGGATGCACCTGTGTTCTTGGCCTGTAGCCGCCCCACGGTGAGCGCTGAACGGAGCCCCAGTCAGGACGTCTACAATGACTGAGACACTCCCTGCTGCTCAGAAGATGGTCATGTAGTGCAAAAGTCGTTTTTCAATCAGACGCTTAAGAGTGTCTCCATCTTATATGAATTTACTGCTGAAAATGATACATGGTGTCACTTTACTTTTACTATTGATATCATTAGATTGCCAGGCCTGTTTTGGAAGGCATCTCTAAACCACACCCACTGCCGTGGAGTCCATTCTGACCCACAGCGCCCCTAGAGGACAGAGTGGAACTGCCCAC